ACGTCCTCCACAACTAGACTGAAGAACAAAAGGACAGCAACTTGTCTGTTCCCCTTCCCCAATTCCCCAGCACTGTTCCCTTCCCCCAATTCCCCAATAAAATCTTTAAAAAAAGAAAAAAAAGAAAGCATACCTTGATAAATCTCATCTGGGGCCATATTTTTATTCTTGGCATTTATTTAGTATTAGATTAATACTTATTGATCTGTCCCATTTAAATATTAATTTAACTTATGATTCTACATTTTTTCTTTTTAAAATACAAAATTAATACAAAGAGCTATAAAAAATAAATGCTGTTAACATGAAAAAAAATGAAGTTAGAACTACATTTTACTTATTTTGAATCTCCTTCTCATGCTTCCATCCCATTAGCAACTAAGGTTCTCAGGGCTGAATGAATGCTTTAAATGAATGATTTAAATGAAAAACAAAATTAAAACAGGCGGCATAAGTATTTCAGTACTCTCTAACTATCAGGTATTATCACCAATAGATTAGCACTCTCCCCTTAAAAAAGTTATTTCTAGCTCTCTGCCATGGAGGACACTGTGAGAAGTCTATCAGTCAGGAAGACGGCCTTCATGAGGGAACTGAATTGTCTGGCACCTTGACTTTGGGCTTTCCAGCCTCCAGAACTAGAGAAGTGGAAATAAATAATATAGTTCTTACCTGGCCAATAAACCCAGTTTTACCGCAGTAAAACAGCTGTACTCAAGATGTAAGTCAACCAACCTCACCCCCATAAGGCTTTACTATTTATCCTTCCATAGTTCTAATTTCTACAGTGGAAACACTTTCAAACATAAATTACATTTTAACATGTGTGACTTTTTATTCATCTAAAATTACTTAAATGAATGGAGTTTTAAAATATATAGTCACTCTTTCATCTATTCCTGTTCATCTTTCCTAGGCATATCTAGAGCCATGAGGTGAGAGAATAAAATATTTTGTGAATGAAAAAAAAAAAAAAGTATTTCTAGCATAATTTCTCAAAAGCATAGATAAGTTTAAAATTTCAGAAGCAAAATACAGATGTCAGTGAACACTGCAAATGTTGCTAGTATGCAAAATGAGAAAGCTAATGACTCCAAGTGTCTTAGCAATAGACAAAAGGAAACATAAAATCATTTGCCTGAGTTTCCTTCAAAACAAATTTATTTTCCATATATTTCAAACTTACTCATTGTTTAATTCTAAAGCTTGGTAGGCTGCTTTGATTCGAGCTGGAGGATTTCTTTCCCTCCATGCCTTCTGCATAACTGTAGGAAAAATATTTCAGAAAGTAGATGAGATGGTAAACATAAATAATCTTATGCAAAACGTATGAAGAATGAGCTAGGAGAGTAAATAAAGACTTAAACAACATGTTCTTAAACATAAGAAACCAGAAATTGGGGTGCTAGCTCACATTAACCATATGAGAAATGTACATTCAATTTGGAAGCTTCACATATAATAAAAAATAAATATATTGCTTCTCTGGTTTATATGAATAACAACATATAAGGCACTTAATCAAGTTAATTATAGCATTATTATACATGAACATTTAAACATCTAAATGATATTAAAATTGAGTTTGAATGACATCAGATTATAATCAATATGAAATATTCTAGTTCCTTTATCATTTTTTAAAGTTTCTTTGGAACTGTTACAAATATATAAAACACTTAAAAACAAAGTATTTGTCTAATCAATGATTCAATCCAGGAAGAATGTTTGAATTTGTATTTTGTATAAAAAGTGGTGATTAATTTAGAATATAGTACGTTTATGAAAAATGTCAGTCTCTACCATGATTCAACAAAAGTCTGAATTAGAATCTCTCTGGAATAACAATATTAGTTTTGCTGTCATTTACAGTACCAGATGTTAAATTTCTTAAAAATTTCTTAAATTTCTTAAAAACTAAACAAACAAATAAACAAAGTAGATCCATGAAACTATCTGACTTATTTCAAGTTTGATAAGAAAAATAGAGAATCTATAAATGTTGCTTTTGGAACAAAACCTACAACTGTCCAAAAAGAATAATGTGGAAAATGTTTGAGTTTTCCTTTGGAAACAAAATATTAGTCTTGGCTTAGAAAATGAGACCATACACTATACTTGTGTAACAAAATACATTTCTGATATCAAACATGTCACCAGCTAGTTGACAGCTAATGCTTCCTGAACTTGAAAAACTGATGTTTGTCAGCACCCATCTGATAATAACCAGGTAAAGAATAGCATTTTGCTGAAACATTAACATATAACATAAAATTAAATATAATACTAGACTTGCTGTTTTTAATGATGGACTTTCTCCCATGTTACATGATATTCACAAGTCAAATTCTGACACTGAATCTTTATCAACATTTTAAATGGTTTGGTATTCTAGTATATGAAGTATATATAATAATGTATTTAACCAATTCTCTTCTGATGGACAGTTAAGTTACACCTAAGCTTTTGCTAAATAAAAATATTGTGATAACCAACCACCTTTCAATATCTATCTTTGTATGCTTAACCAAGAAGTGGAACAGTTTAAAAGATTTTGAATATATATTCCCAAACTCCTCTCAATAAAACTGCATTAATTTACATTATTTCAGGCAGTATAGGAGAGTGACTGTTTCCCTATTTCCTTACCAACACTGAATAATATTAATCTTAGTACATGAAAACTATCTCATTTGCATTTGTATTTCTTTTATTTCTATTAAGGTCATCGAATCCACCTTTAAGCATTTATTATTCTTTTGTTTTCAACTGCTCTATCCAGCCTTTTAAGACTATTACAACCAATGTAATTCCAAGCCAAAGGGGAAAAGGGAAATTAAGTAGTGGAAGAAAAATATGTATTTCCTTCTAAAACAAAGTTTAGGAATAATTTAAAGCAAAATGCTGATTTAGTATTTAACTGTCTGCTTTAAGAGCGCTTGACATGCTTAAAAAATAACACAAGCAGTTAGCAATTCAAATTTATTTATTTTTCAAGTTATGTAATATTCTCACAAGCTAACAAGCAGAAAAGACACTAGCATTTATCCCAAGATCAGGGGTCATAAATGTAAGTGTCTTCAAAGACCAGGCAGAAAATATAAATGAACAAATGAACTAAAAACACATGAACTAGCTAAAGGAGAGAATCATAGCTCAGATCTAATTGATTAGTGCCAAGTGGAAATGCAGGTCCAGTTTTGCCATATTTTCCAAATTCCAAAAAGTGTAAACCTGGATTTTAATATTAAATTTCCTGATTGTTTAAATTTTGGAAAACAACAACAACAACAAAAAAACCATGAAAACAAATTATCCAAAAAACAATGCTGGCTGGCCCTGAGGATGTTTGTTCTTGGTCTTAAACAAATCAATAGGATGAGAACAAAATCTACTAATTTAGTAATTACTGATGACAAGCGTCAAGAGAAATCTGTTGCATTACACATATATACACATTTGTCTTTCTTGAATATAAAACTAAATACCTTTATGTGAGTGTCTGAAAAGATCAATATGGAACCCGGTTCGGATCCCACATATGCGGGCCAGTGACACTGCCCTCTATAGCTAAGATGCTGAACAACAGCTCAACCTGGAGCTGGGCTGCGGTGAGTCCCCAGCTACGGTGTAGGCTGCAGACCCTGCTGCAGTGGGTTGCCATGGGCTACTGTGTGTGGCCAGCAGCCAGCGTGAGCGGCCAGCAGCTGCCATGAGCGGCTGTCCAGAAGCTGGCGACTGATCTGCCTCACCCAGGAAGAGCGCAATGATGGTGCCAACTTGGGCCAGTGAAGCAACGTCCTCCACNCCATCCAGAAGCCAGCGACTGATCTGCCTCACCCGGGAAGAGTGCAATGATGGTGCCAACTTGGGCCAGTGAAGCAGAGTCCTCCACAACTAGACTGAAGAACAAAAGGACAGCAACTTGTTCCCCTTCCCCCAATTCCCCAATAAAAATCTTAAAAAAAAAAAAAAGAATATCCACAATTTTCTGAAAAGGTTATTAAAATACCCCTCCCTTTTCCAACTACATGTCTATGTGAGACAAGATTTTCTGCCTACGTTTCAACCAAAACAGCATATCACAACAGACAGTGCAAAAGCAGATACAAGAACAAGCTGTTGAAGACAACTAGACATTGAAGAGATTTAAACAAATGTAAATCAATGGCAGTATTCTGACTAAAATTATTTTTCATAATTTTCAGCTCAGGCTGCCATAACCAAATACCACAAACTGGGCAGCTTAAACAAAAGAATTTATTTCTCACAGTTGTGAGGGCTCGAAGTCTGTGCTCTGGGAGCTATAATAGCATGGTAGGTTCTGTGAGAGCTCCTTAAACTTGCAGATGGCTCCTTCTCACTGTGTCCTTACGTCTCCTCACATGGTGGAGAGAGAAACTGATCTCTCTTTCTTCCTCTTCTTAAAAGGCTACCAATCATATCAGATTAGGACCCCACTCTAACGACCTCATTGAACCTTACTGACCTCCTAAAAGTCCCAGCTCCAAATATAGTTACACGAGAGGCTGGAGCTTCAACATAGGAATTTGTGGAGCAGACACACTTCAGTCCATAAAAATATGTTAACATGAAATGGGTTTATTATTTTAAAATAATAAATAAATATTTTTAAAATTTGTTTTAATTTCTAATGTAATAAACATTGAGGATATAATCAACATATAGAAACAAAAGCTCTTTGAGGTCCTCAATAATTTTGAAGAGTGTAAAGGATGCCTGAATCCAAAAAGTTTGAGAACCATTTTCTACACAGTAAGGGGAAAGGAGGCACTAAAAGGAGAAGTATTAGAGGCAGAATAACCAATTAGGGTACTATAGCAATAGTCCAGGCAAGAGATGTTGAGGGCCTAGGTATGGGGCAATGAATGTTCAAATAAAAGAAGACAGGATGGGGGCTGGCCAAATGGCTCCGTTGGTTATGAGCACGAGCTCTGAGCAACAGGTTGCCAGTTCGATTTCCACATGGGCCAGTGACCTGCGCCCAAGCTGAGCTGCCGCTGAGCTGTCAACAGGTGGCAGGATGGCTCAGCTTGTGAGAACACGTGTTCCTAACAACAAGGTGTCCAGCTGACTTCCGCATGGGATGGTGGCTACGCTCCCCGCAACTAAGATTGAACACAGCACCTTGAACTGAGCTGCCCTGAGCTGCCGATGGGCGGCTGGATGACTCAGTGGTTAGAGCGTGTGCTCTTAGCAACAAGGTTTCCGGTTTGACTCCAACTTCCGCATGGGATGGTAGGCTATGCCCACCCTCAACTAAGATTGAACATGGCACCTTGAGCTGAGTGGCCATAAGCTGCCGATGGGCGGCCGGATGTTAACTGGACTTGGGAGATGAGCTAGCTGTGCCCTCCATAACTAAGACTGAAGGACAACTTAGCTGTTCCCCTTCCCCAATAAAATCTTTTAAAAAAAAGTAGATAGGATGGAATCAAAATAATTTTGAGCAGAATCAACAGAATATGATGGGGGTCAACTGTTTGGAGAAGTAAGGGGAAATAAAAAGAGACAGAATCTGAAACAACGCAGAGGTATCTAGCATGAGAATTGGGTACCATTGGGTACCATTAACAGATTTGAATAGGAGGGCGCCCTACTGAAAGAAGATAATTAAGAAGTTTCATTTTGGAAAGAGTGAGTTCAGGGTGCTTAGGGCCATCAAAGGTGGAGATTTCTAGCAAAGAGTCAAAAAAGTGGGTCTAGAACTTAAAAGAGAGCTTGGAGGTAGAAATTTAAAATTGGTTTTCCTGGGATATATGTCTATGAAAGATAATACAGAATAAGATGCAGTTATCTAGGGACAGAAAGTTCAACCTAAGAACAACTTTGACTCACTTTTAGGTCAATTCAAGTATTTCTTCTGTGAAACATTTTGTGGCCCTCCTTCCAAGAATAACTAACTATTCTTTCTTTTCTGTTATTGTAGTATCTTCTATACACTCTATACAAATATCTTTTATATTTTTTGCCATCACTTATTTATATGTCTGTATCCTTTACCAACCTGGAATGTTCTTAAGGTTATCTTCACTCTTATCATGCAATGGTATTCTCAAATTTATATACGATTATGTAAGATTATATAATCCATCATTGTTATAATTATTTACATATTAGACTCTGAGCTTCTTGAGGACAGATCTATGTTATATTCATATTAACATGTCTCATTGTTAGGAGTTCTGTAATTTTATGAAAGGGGAGAAAGGAGAAGGGGAAATAAAGTTACCATTGTTTCTTCCTGTACTCTTGAATGGTTGCCAACTCCATCCCTACTATTCCTGGTCAACACCCACTCATGCTTCGGGCCTCAGCTCAAATGGTACTTTCTTAGAGGCTTTCCCTGACCACATCTAAAAAAATGCCAACAACTACACTCAGGTAGTATTTTCCTACTAAAATGTATAAACGCTATATAACTCTAGTGGTTACCTTTATTGAACAAATGAGACATATGGAAATCTATTAAATTAACTCATTTGTATTATTACTGTATGATTATTACCTATAATAAATGAAATGAATAATCCAAAAATATCATTTCTATTTGGCTTTGAAAATTTTACTTTCCTAATTGCATATCATTAATAATATTTACTTTGTATTATTAGATATAGAGGAAAAGTCTATAATTAAAGTATGACAATGAAATATCCATACACGAATATCTAGGATTTTGATGTCTTTATAAATATATACAGACTGAAAAGCATTTTTCCTAACTTCGCTCTGTTGGTAGAGATGGCTAATTGTCTCTCTTCTCTCCTTTATCTAATAAGATCTCCTGCTTATTAGCTGGGCATATATATGTACACTGAGAAAATGATGCCAATTTCTAGCTTCCTTTACAGCTAGTGGTGGCTGTTTGACAAAGGTCTGGCCAACAGGAAGTAACACGAAATAGTATGTAACACTTCTGGGAAGTGTCTTGGCTGCTGTGGTGTGGGATGGGGGAAAGGGAGTCTTTCTCCTGGCCTAGTCTCCTTCCTGCTGATTGGAATGTGAATGTGATAACTGAAGCCAGAGTGACTGACTGTCTTGGACCACAAGGAAAAACCGTGTTTGGAGCTAGCAGACTAACAAAATAAGAGCCTGGGTCTCTGATAAACATTGCTCTTCCTATCAGCCATGGATTACTTGTATTTACATGAAAGACAAACTTCTCTCTGTTGTGAGTTTTCTATCTCTCACAGCCAAACACAATCTTAACTACAGCTCTAAAAACACATTAAATAAGTAGTCACCTGACAAATTCTGTCTGCTGGTTTCACTTTCTCTGTTGCTGGAAGGAAAACCTGGCTCTGCAATGGTGCTTTCTGTTCCTCCCATCAATGGTCGCAAATGGCTTACAGACACTTGCTCAATAAAAGATGTGCCATGTTTATGGAAGTACCACCATTCAAATATCTATGACAAACAGAAAATATCCTGCACTTAAAATAGAACTGATTGGCCGACATGTGAGCTCAAATTAAAAAATGATCTCAAGGTGTTCCCATTTAATCAAGTATTGTAAATGAGCTCTCCTTCCAAAAACTAAGCCAAACACATGATTCTGCAATAACACATGCCCAGCAAAAGTGAAATACCTTTTTCATAGCTTTGTCGTGAAATTTAGACAAACGTAGGAAAACTAGAAGAAATATCTGTAAATAAAGCATTAAGAAACAATATAAAATATTTATAATCTATCTGTTATGTTACATTGTCATTTTATTCTATCTATAGCATAATGAAAAAAAAAAGTTTGAGACAACTTGCATGGTGGATTAAGCCCTAGTAGGGTTAGAATGCCCACATTTGACTCCCAATTCAACTATATATTAGCTGTGTGCTTTAGGCAAGTCACTTAACCTCTAACATCTCAGAGCCTCAATGTCCTATCTATTAAATATGGTTAACAAGAATTGTAAGTGTCTTTTAAGCAATAAAATACTATTCCAGTATTTGGCAGTATAACTTACGTAGGTTAAGAGTCAGGTTGATTCCCATGTTGAACCATTTAAAAATCAAGATATTTGGGCCGGCCGAGTGGCGTGTTGGTTAAGAGTTGGCTTGGGACACCAGCTCTGAGCAGCAGGGTCCCGGTTCGGATCCCACATGAGGGCCTGTGACGCTGCACCCTCTACAGCTAAGATGGTGAACAACAGCTCGACTTGGAGCTGGACTGTTGTGAGTCACCGGCTACGGCATAGGCTGCAGCCCCTGCTGCAGTGGGCTGCCATAAGCTACCGTGAGTGGCCGGTAGTCAGCATGAGCGGCCGGCAGCTGGCGAGAACTGCCATGAGCCGCGGTGAGCGGCTGCCCAATGGCTGGTGACCGATCTGCCTCACCCAGGAAGAGCGCAATGACCACAATACCAACATGGGCAAGTGAAGCGACGTCCTCCACAACTAGACTGAAGAACAAAAGGACAGCAACTTGTCTGTTCCCCTTCCCCGATTCCCCAGCGCTGTTCCCCTCCCCNTCCAGGTCGAGCTGTTGTTCAGCATCTTAGCTGTAGAGGGCAGTGTCACTGGCCCTCATATGTGGGATCCGAACCGGGGCCCTCTGGCATCCCAGACCAGTTCTTAACCTTCGCGCCACTCGGCCGGCCCAGGATAACTGTTTAATCATGTTGTATCCCCATCATTTTACACAGTGTCCATATATTGTAGACACATAATATTTCTTGTTCAATGGATTAAATAGCATGCCCAGTCTGCCTCCAGGTAAAACACAGCCCTTCTCAAATTAAAAATAAAGTATCTTTGGTCATAAATTTCAAAAGATGTTTTCTCATTTAGAGTAAAAACCAGAAGAGAAATGGATACAGTAGAGCAGACAGGAAACAGTAATGAAAAATACAATATAAAAATACTATAGTCTGGACTGTTACACAAATGAAGTTCATATTCATATTCAGATTGATATTTTCTAGGGAATCCTCAAATAAATTTTGAAATTGAGCACATATGCACAGGAATACACTTACATTTGTAATTTTTTCTTAATCTCATGAATTCTTTGAAAAGGCTTTCTGCCATAAACCAGGGGCCAAATGTATACTTATATGTCACAAACATATGGTTTGAAGCAGTTTCTCATGATTATAAAGGTAAATACAGTCAAGATGCTGCCAACTAAATTTTGGGCTAATCATTTTATCTTATTATGTATCTCCAACTAGAAGAGCTATGATATATTTATAAAAACAAATGGTTCCATAATGCTTTTACTCTGAAACCAATGCCATAATTATACTGAAAGCAAAATGTAATACCTCCTATATTCTGCTCCTCTGAAAAGGTTTAGAGGGTTTCTCCATACCTTGCATTCTAAAAAACAAAGAAAAAAGGGGAGGAATTGAGACAGTTGAATCAAATGCATTTAAATCTTCATTTCACCCATATTAACTGTATAGTCACTATATGCTAAGTACAGTGCTAGCCACGGACAGCACACAGATAAATAAGGCATGATCTTCCTACTGTCACAAAGCATACAATTACATCTAGTCATTCCCTTATTTCTATCTTCATAGCATTTGGTTCATAATTCAATCATAGCACTTACTACAATATATTACAATGTGATTATCTGTTTGGTTTTCAGTTTCTCTCTCTTAAACATGAGCTTTTAACTTTGTTCATTTTTCTACATTTTCCTGGAGCCTAGCACAGCATTTGGAACTATCCCGTTTAAATGAATTAAATGTAGCATGAGAGTTAGTCATGTAAACCACCACCTAAACTGTGTGATAAGTGCTTTTGTGGAGATCTGTTTTGTTTCAAGAAAAAAACCGGAAGTGATTAAAACGGGGAAGGCTTTAGAATGGAGGGAACACTTGAATGGCATTGAATCACTGTAAAAGATGAGTAGAAGGTTGGTTGCCAGGTGAAGAATATTCCAAGCAGAGGAAGTAACATAAAACCACACAGCACAGACAGACTAGAGTACAGGGCAGGTGGTGAGAGGGAGAGCTGTAAATGAGACTAGACAACAGAATGAGGAAAATTGCTGAAGGAGCTTACATGCTACGTAAAGGAGTTTAGATATTATCCTTAGTCAATCATAAGTCATCAAAGGTTTATAAGCAGAAAAATAATAAATATTGGATCTTTGTTTACAACAGCAGTTCTCAAAGTATGATTCATAGAACTGCAAAATAACAACTCTTCATAATAAATGCTACGCCGTTATTTGCCTTGATATTGTAACTGTGTTGACTTGAACACAACCCTGAGAAGGGAGGGCTTCCTTAAGTTTTGCGCCCCAGGCACCTGATTTGCTTCACCCTAGTCCCAGCCCTGCAAAATCGAACCAATGGTGTAAAATCAATGGCGGGTAAAATTGCTAGTACTTCAGCATGAGTCAAAGGCAGTGACACCGAATTACACCAGTCATCATCAGATTTATTACCCCCACTTTAGTAAAACAAGACAATCCCAAGTATGATGATTGTCTCCAGTGTAAGTCATTGTTTTTTGAGCTGAACTGGCCTTTTTTTTTTCCCTTCATGGAACACCCCTTTTACTTGAAAGAGCCACCAAGAGAAAAACTTATGATTATTCAGATGGACACCTGGCAGACATTTTTTGAAAGATGAACAAAGTGGGTCTGTCAACTTCAAGGAAGAAATAACAATATTTGCTGCCAATGGTAAAATTTGAGCTTTTGAGTGAATATTAGAATTTTGAAAAACCTGTATCTGCTATCATGAGCCTGGCAATTTCCCAATCCTTAGATTTTCTGTAAGACTGGTAGTAATATTAACAAATGTGATTTTTTTAAAACTGTACAATAAAATATGTCAACATTTGGAAAATATGCATAACTCAGTGAACAAGTATTTCCTAAATGACCAATGCATGATATTATAAAATCATGCATATGGAAAAGACCCATTCAAGATATAAGATAAATTGATGGATTTTAATGTACTAGAGAGTGAAAAGTTCACTGGTGGGCTGGCCGAGTGGTGTGTTGGTTAAGAGTTGGCTTGGGACACCAGCTCTGAGCAGCAGGGCCCCGGGTTCAGATTCCACATGAGGGCCAGTGATGTTGTGCCCTCTACAGGTAAGATAGTGAACAACAGCTCAACCTAGAACTGGGCTACCATGAGTCCTCGTCTATGGCGTAGGCTGCAGCCCCGGCTGCAGCCCCTGCTGCAGTGGGTTGCCATGGGCTACCGTGTGTAGCCAGCAGCCANTTTAAAAAAAAAAAAAAGTAAAACTACAAAGAAACTAAAAGAAAACACAGATGTCAAGATGGTAAAGAGCTTTCGAAGCATAAAAGCAAAGAGAAACGTTTTTCAGATTTTACTAATTTAGAAATTTAAACTTTCCTGTCCCTCTGAGACCCACAATAATAATAGCAATTTAGCAAACTGGCTAATAAATACATTTTTAAATGTCCAATCTCATAGTAATTAACAAATAGCAAATTAAAATCATCAATTTTCACTTTTCGTCTATAAAATTAGTAAATACATACACGTTATCAAGGGTGAGGCAGGATATAGACTCACACAAACTGCTGGTATAAATGTAAATTGGCATTTACAGTTCTGTTTCCAGAAATCAATTAGGTAATAAATATCAAGAGTCTTAAAAACATTCACACCTAGTTAGGGGATGGGTATATGAAATTCCATTATACCATCCTCTCCACTTTTGTTTAGTTTTGAAATTTTCCATAATCAAAAGAGGAAAAGATTAAAGGGGAAAAAAAACAAACCTGTTCACACCCTTTGATTCAGTAATCCTAGTGCCATAAATCAACCCTAAGGAAATAATCAAAGATGTGGCTAAATGTTTATATATAAATATATCCCTTTAGTGTAAATGTTAACAGTGAAATATAATCTGTAACCCAGAGAGGGGAGCAGTAGGTCAAGTATGGTACCTGTATATAATAAATATAGTACAACCATTAAAAATCGTTTTTGAAGAAATTCATGTTTTGAAGAAATTCTGTGGGATATTCAAACATTGTGTTAAAAAAAAAAGAATGTAAAACTATATACACATTTTGATGTAAAGTTTTCTTTCTACATATGCATATAGAAGAGAGACTGTATAGAAATACCAATAGCACTTAGGAATAGGTGATTTTACTTTCTTTTTCATACATCTCTTTATTTTCCCATTTTCTAAGATGAATATGTATACATTTTATAATCTGAATAAAAACCCTTTAAAGGCACATTATAAGTGTTATTTACATATTTGATTAAAGATTTAAAGTTACTTAATAGTATGAGTTGCCTTGCTATTTTGTTTCAGCTATTTTGGGCCAGCCTAGTGGTGCGTTAGTTAGGAGTTGGCTTGGGACGCCAGCTCTGAGCAGCAGGGCTCTGGTTTGGATCCCACGAGGGCCAGTGATGCTGTGCCCTCTACAGCTAAGATGGAGAACAACAGCTTGAC